GTTTTCTGCCATTACTTCTGTGAACAGGTTTTTAAATGTCATTTGCGCTATCCCCTGATTTTTCATTGACTCTAATCAATCTTACATCATTCTTTGCATCGTCTAGCAGCTGTTGGATTGGTTTTTTTTATGGTCCTTTACTATTTTAAAAAATTTTTCTTTTCATGATTGCTAACCGAAAAACCTGTCTTCTATATCTGATAATCTGTCCTCACATTGCCTCATTCTGTGGGCCTGGAGCTCAGTGATTCTGCTCATTGGTTCTGCTGCCTGCCTTGAAAGTGCAAGATCCTGAGTTTGATCCCCAATACCCCCCAAAAAAGAATACTGGTCTGTATATACTTTCAATGTGTTTTTGTTTTTTGGTACCAGGGATCAAACTCAGGTCCTTGTGCTTGCAAGGCAGGCAGCTAAATCCCCAGCCCTCAATGTAATGTTTAATCTGGATACCTGTTTGAATCTGTTTCATGGATTCCATTTCTAGAAGTAATGTTCACACTCATATAAAAATAAGAACAAAAACTAGAAAAAATGTTCACACATATAAAAACAAGACAATAAAATTTTTTTAAAATGAAAAAGAAAGTGTTTTTTTAAAAAGCCCACTTTGAGGTGTTTCTCTGCTGTCACTGGTCGACAAAATGGACAGAAGGAGCCTAGATCTGCGTTACTTGATCCCAGCAAGCCAGCTACAGCATACAGTGGGGTAGTGGATAATCCCAGCCTGCCTACACCTTTAGTTCCACTGAAGTTCAGGCTGGTTTCTGGCTGTGAGCCTGAAACCCAATTTGTTCAGCCTGCAACACTCTATGGGCCTCCTGCTGGTTTAAACTCAGCTCCTTGACCTCCTGCCACCTTGAACGAAGTTCTGCCTCACCTCGACACTGGGAGCCACTAGATGGAGTCAGCCCACAGCTACTTTGAGTGCCAAGTTCATTTGGCCCCTCTCCAAGATGGCTCCTGGCCAGTTGTCCTCTCCCGGGGGGACACCTGAACCTAAATAGCTCACCAGCCACTGCAGTCAGCCCTGTTCCATTGGTGTCCTTCTCTGTGGAGGTCTCTGGTTTTGCCAGGAGTGACCATGGATGGGTCTGCGGGTTCCAGACCCACTAAGTGAGTCAGGGCTGCTTGCCACCTTCTGCACTGAGGCCTCTCTCCCCGCCTCTCTATGGGCTTCCTATCCCATTTCAGATCCTTGCTGGATCCTGGGAACCCAATTCCCTCCTTCTCTTCCTCACAGTACTATTCCAGTGTCTGGACACCAAATCTTGGAGAAGCTGTTTCTCTGCTGTTCATTATGCCACCATCTTCCTGGAAATCTTCCTGTATCAAAATTGAAATAAATTGCCAGATGTGGTTGTACATGCTTATAATCCCAACACTCAGGAGACTGAGGCAGGAGGATCGCTATAAGTTTGAGGCCAGCCTGGGCTACATAGAGTTCAAGGCCAGTCCGAAAGGCATAGCAAGACCTTGTCTTAAAAAAAAAAAAAAAAAAAAAAAAAAAAATTTT